GTGCCCCTTTCCTGAACTGGTGTTCAAGTATCTGACCTGATATGTGTGTGTATACGTGTGTGTGCGCGTAAGTATATAAAATTTATTTGGAAGGCCATATTGTAACTATCTCCAAACATGCCTTTTCTCCTAGCAATATTGTCAAGGTGTCTAATTTCTCTCAGAGGCAGAGGACCAAAGGACAAACACTAATCTGCGACATGTTTAGATGAACTGCAGATCATTCAAACTGCTGACCAACAAGTCATATCATTGGTTGTGTGGTTGTTTAAGAGTTGATTTTAAGATTGTGCTAGTGGTTTTCAAGTCAGTAGCAGACTTGTGAATGGAAACATGTGAGACCGGGTTACCTACAGTCCTCTGGCAGTAGACTTTTAGTTACTCCCCGAGCTGGGAGTAAGACCCATGAGGCAAAAGTGTTAGTGCACGGCCCTTGGTTCTACAACCGTCCACCAAAGCACCTGAAGGCACCTAAATCTGATTCAAATGAAACCACATCTTGTCTCTCTTTTTTACGGGGGACATGTGCCACAAAAATGTCAGTGACGACAACATACCGTCTGAGACTTATTTCCATTGTGGTCCCAAATTATACACTACGTTTTATTTTCTGTTATAAAATATATTTCACTTGATTTTATCACTATTATTTTGGATATCATTTCTGTTATTGAAGTTTATACTATTATTAGTTTCCTTTCTGTGTTATATCTATTTGATTTTTTTGCATTGACACGGGAAAAACCTCATATTACAGTCTTTTACAAAAATTGGGATTTGATAAATGGAATATACTAATTAACAAAGCCTGTCAAAGTTTAATCTGAAACTGTTTAATTAATTGCACTGCTTAATTATACTGCACAGTGGTTTTGCGGAGTGTGTGTGTGTGTGTGTGTGTGTGTGTGTGTGTGTTACAACTGTACTTTCATGTGACTGTATGTGACTGCAGGCTGGGAGATATAGATCAGCCACAAGCCAAATGCTGGTTGTGGTTAAGGCTTTTATACTTGACCAGATGCTTGGGCAAGAAACCGGCCATCATCTGGAGGAATGATTTTATTCTGAAAATCAAAAGAGTCAGTGTGGCTGTAAAGCCTGAGAAAAACATAAGCATATTTGCTTTTATTTGTATTTTCTTCTAAAATTATATATTTGATTTTAATTACAGAAACATTTAACACAAAAACATGTAGGAGTTTCTTTAAATCCTTCATTGTCAAAATAAAAGTCCTTCAACTTCAAACAAAATAGACATCGTCTGCATTATATTGAACACCCAACTTGAAGTAACAGTTTATATATATATATATAGTGGACAGAGTGTGTTAAAAACCTACATATGTGATACACTATACATTATTAATTATACGCTGGACTGTGCCTTCTTTATTGTTTTATGGAACATTAACTCAGTAGTTTAATACATTACGTATTTGTATGTTTCAAGTTAAAATTAGATGTCTGTCATTTGAAATATAACTAAGTGGACAACATTATATAAATAACCACATTTAAAAAAGTAACTCTTGAGACTTTGACTTTCAACACAGTAACATACTGTATGTGATGTTGTAAGTATTATTGAATTATTGGTCTAAGAACTTCAGTAAACATGTCCTCCACAGACTGATCGTATGGTTCCCTTATAGCTGCTGTTAGCTGTTTCTCTACTGGGGTTTGCTGGTTTATTACCACTAGGCTATGCTGTGCTCCCAGGCCACTCTCTACTCTAGCCTAAACTCACACCCATCCAGGAAAAGATGAGTCTTCACACCTCCTCTGCAGCCTCCATTTCAATTCTCCCTTCCTCTATCGCTCTGTTTTCCCCCTCCTGGTTTTGTAGCTCAGCTCCAACACCCAGCTTTTTCCACTTGTTCTCTCCTCATCGTCATCCTTCATCTCTCTTGCTTTGCCGCCCTCCCCTTTTCTCACTTTCCCTCCCTCTCTCTTCTTCTCTCGCTAAGGTGCTGATCAATTCACAGTCTCCCTGGGAGGTGTGAGAAGCCCCCTCCACCCTCACCCATCCATCCACTGCCATCCTTACCCCTCCACCCTCAACGGTGTGACTGGCCAACACGTGACGCCCCTTACCCTTCCCTCACCCAAATCCTTCACCCCTGGATTTTTTTTGGGGGGGGAGAAATGATGATGATGACGACTGCATTTTCTTCTTGTTCTCCCTTTTCTCTTTCTGCTCTCCTCTTTACACTATGTCTTCTCTCTTTGTCTCTCAGCAAAAGTGTCTGCGATACCATTAGCACACCTGAAATAATAGCGGCGGTGACAAATGCTACTTGAAGGAGAGACGGGGAGAGAGAGAGAGAGAGAGAGAGAGAGGTGTCTGTGATGAGCTCTCTTTCTATCTGTGGGGTTAATTCAGACTCAGCAGCCTTTCATAGTAGAAGTGGAGCTGGAGTGGCCAGTGGTACAATGTGAAAATTGACTGGCAGCATTCAGCACAGCTATAATTACAGACCTCCGCTGTGTGTGTGCTTCAATGTACACATTTATAGTTCTATATAAGTGTGCATCTAATTTCACACAGGTCTCACCATATAAAGCAGCTGTTCATCACATATATATCTATAGGTGTGATGTGGTGATGTTGGTGTGACTGTCACATCCAAGCAGCGCTTGTATCTGGTTCAGTCAGTTTGTTTAGGTTCAGTCGTTTGCAGTTCTTCATCATGAATCACATTAATGCACCGCCTACATAGCAGCTGTTTTAGGCAATGATTTAAATGACTTTATAGATTAAAAACAGTTATAGTTGTACATCTATAAGAGAGATGTTCTTTAAGAAGCTGCTGAGTGTTTAATTTGTGCATCAAACTTGATCTAAGGTTTGAGTCCTTAATGCCATATACCAATACCATCTTTTGATTTTATGACTTTATTTGGAATGTGTTTTCATGATTGGAGCTCAAAGGTGATTCCCAGATAGAATGCCACCTAAATGCATTAATAGCAATTAGCAGATGTCCCTGTGCCTCATGTAGTATAGCTTCTTATACAATAAACACATAAATAGACACACTGGACATTTGCAATAAAAGGCAACACACCAAAAGACAACTAGCATGATTATATATTTTTATTTGCATGTTAAATTATTTACATGAACAGAAATCATGGAAAATGTAACAATAAAAATTGTTATAGATTCAAACAGTTTATATTGCATTTAGTGCAACTTGCTGAAGAAGATAAAACTGCTGACAACGCAACAGAAGTACACAAAACAAGTCTGAAGTGGATTTATATTGCAGGAGTTTTACTTTTGCTTTTTATCTTAATTTGTCTGAGCAAGACTCTCCCTCTGCCTTTCTGCATTTCATGTAATTTTCAACACTTCCGGTAGAAGGCGCAAATGATTAAGCATTAATGTGTGTGAGAGGCGAGAGCAGCTCAGATTATCATTTGGGCCAATCTGCAGGATCCAGCACAAGTGAAACCTCCCAGAGGAAAGAGTTAACCTTAATAAGAAAATGTTTCTGATTTCATGGTTTAAAATTAATATTGCGATACATTAGATTATTGTCATTGTACCAACGCTATGATTTTACATATTTAACCACAAGCCGTCGTATTTACCATAATGTTTTCGGTGCCATGTAATTATACTCCCGAGATATTAGTGCCATTATTTTAAAAAGTCATTCTCAAAAATCACAACCCGCCATCCTGTTGAAATAATTTCAGACAAACTGTATAAAAAATGGTTTCAACCTTTATATCCTTTCATAAATTAGTAACAATTTGTGAACGATGATGATTCAGTATAGCACGTGCCTTTCTCATGTGACACTGGATGCTCCATCGCTTTATAGCTCATTACACTAACTTTAAAAATAAATCTACGAGGTAAGCGAAATCATTTGCTTATACAAAGCCGAGCTCCTTTTTCTTCTGACTGAATAATTTCGGACCGGAGCTCACAGCGCCTGAATGTGTCCTAATGGATCCGGGTCGGTATTGTGACAGCCGATAATATACTAGTAGTTTCATATAATTAGATGAGCTGGGAAAACTTTGCGGCAGGTCTATGTGTCTGCCTGTGTGCTGCTGCAGTGACACAAAGCAGAGAGACTCGGTGGCCTTTGCAGATCCCAACACGTTTGGGCGCAGAGCTGCGGGGCTGCAAAAAGTTTGACCTCACTTTGACTCCTCAGGCTGCCAGTTGCTCCTTGTTTCTTTAAACAAGCAGAGACATAGATGATCACAAAGGCTCGGTCAGTGATTCTCTGATCCGGAGTTCTAGTTTTTACTTTTATTTTTAACTCAAAACTGTACGTGTTCAAATGAATATTCAAATTTGCATTATTTATTACAACATTCTCTGAGCTAAAAATAACTGTTAGTGACTTAAAATAGTAATCTGTTACACAGTGAAGAATACACATCATGGACATTAAATGTCTGTATGATGCCTGTGTTTATAAACTAACATAAAGGCTGCAACTTGTCTTAGTCTCCAAACTGCACAAGTCGTGGCGCACAGGCCGTCTAATAACACTTCCATTTGTTTTGGGAGCCAAACATGCTGTCAATTTACATTTAGCCGTTTGAAAGTAATACCTGCTGATTTTATTGAAACGACTCAAAGCATTACCGTCATCGCAAAGCGGATTAAACCGCAATGACAGTATTTGCCCCCCTGCTCTTTCAGGATGCCAAAATGTGCTGACCCTCACGAAAGAGCAACTCCAGGAGAGAAAGTGGAACTCCACTTTGCTTTTATATACGCTAATTGAAGTAGCTTAATTGCCATTAATGCCACTGTCGTTGTTTTACAGTGAGCAGGCGCTGATGTGGTCTCATTTAATGTTAATTTAGCTTTGCTTTTTTCAATGACCCTATAAAATGTAGTCTGCCTTGTGGTGTAGTGAGCTATATAATCGTGTTTGCGTTTCACTAAACCCCACAAATTTGGCTAAAAGTGGATTAAAACAGCAGCTTCTCCTTTAATTAAAAATAACTTCCATTCAAGAAATATCTTAGTGACAATAATAAGGGTTTTAATTATTTAATGTGCCGTAAAAAAAGAATGAGAGAAGGAGAGCTTCTACTCACCAATAAATAACTGAATTAACAAACTCGACGAGCACAAGTCAACCCAGTTTATTATATGATCCGGTATCTCTGTGCGTAAAAGTCCGTGCGTCCTGCGTGGCTTCGTGGCTTCTCTGCTGTTCGCGCCCCGGAGCTTCGCCTGCCGGACTGCAGGAGGCTGTGATAGTCATTTCATGCCTGTACATTTGTCCCATCGTTTCCCACCGCTCGGGTTTTACCACAAGAATCACCGCCGAATGTGTGAAGCCGCATTATCATGTTATGACACAATTTGTGGCACCGGGGGCAGATGATCGATGACTGGACGCGCTGCACGCGAAGAAAAAACTTTAAAGCAGGCTGTCACCGACCATAATCAGGAGATAATGTGCCTCTTTCACACACACTCCGTTCACGTGTGTCGGTTGAGAAATAATAAAAAAAGTTGAGTAAACCTCTAGTCGGTGATCATCATGTGGAAAACAACCTTAAAAATAAACAAAAATCCATTGGGATTCATAGATACCTTTTACATATGCGTCTTATCTGAAAACTAATCATGTCCATGAAACTTGCCCCGCTTTTATATTACTTCATATGTCATGAAATTTATCATAAATATTTTATGCAGATTTATGCAGAGGTAGTTAAACTCTTTTTTTAATTAAAAAAAAACTTTGATAGACTAAATTAAATAAGATTTGTAGCCCTTTATATCCCGGCGAGGAATCATATACAACCAGATAACGTAGTAAATTCATACTATTTTGTTCATTTACATCCGCACATTACTCAATGCTGTCATAGCTTTTCTTGAAATTACTCGAGAATATAAGTTTCTCCTCCATAAATTAAAGCTCATCAATATTTGACCAAACTTTTACAATCTCTGCAACTGTGAAACTCAAGTGAACGCTTCATAAAGCAACAAAAGTGAAATTGAATAACTTCTCTGAGAGAAGAAAGTTGTTAAGAGTTTTAATCTGAGTGTGAGTCTGTTTAGTTTTGTGAATCTTAAGTGTGAATGCATTATGATGTAAGTAATTAAGTCAGAGATGTGAAAATTGATGTGTGTGTGTGTGTGTGTGGGGGGGGGGGGGATGCATGTGTAGAGAGAGAGAGAGAGATTTATTGGTCAAATGTTCTGTGTTTTGGTGAATATACAGCCTTTATGAGCTGACAGAAAACGCAAAGTGTGTGTTTTCCATTCGCGGACGATGTTGTGTTTTGCGCCTCCTCGCAAATGTGGCCTAAAACCGATCAATCAGCCCCTGATCGATCATGTGGGGAGCCAATAGGGGGCTCCCATCCCTGAGCTTCTCTGCCATTGGACAGCCAGGGCAGACTGGAGCGACCCATTCAGCGCTGCTGTGGGGGGAGAGGGACGGACGACATGTTAACTGTTATTTGGGCATAAAAGACACTTTAAAAAGCTACTGTAACGTTTAAATAAGTTAATTCAGAATTCAGCATGAACACGACAACACAGTGTCAAGATGTGCACTAATTACACTGCTTTTTGCATTGGAAACAATCAATAATTAAACTAAATATAAAATGTTCTTCCAAATAACTTGAAGCAAGTTGTTTTTGTTAATTAAATCGTTTTCCAAGCTTTTTATTTGCTGCATTTGCATTTCCATGATTAAATGTTATGTGTATCAATGCAAACGCCGGGAGCAAACAGGCTGCATAGAAGTTGATTATCAGCTACAAGAGGCGCAAAACCTGCATGACTGGATGTTTGGCTACAAGCTGCTCTTTGGATTTCATGCAGACATCATGTTAACAGCATATGAGAAGCCTTGCCTGACTATAAATATTATATTAATATTATAATGAACTAGTTTTACACCTACAACTTATTTTGACGATGATTATAAAGTTATATCCAGTCCAAACTTAATCTGCAATTCAGATCATATAGGCACTTGATGATAACATACCTGACAATATCTCATATCAGAGTTGAAAGATGGTTCAATAAGCCGTTAATACTGTTTACAAACAGAAAAGTGGTTTCTGGGTGCGCTAGTCCCGAAATATAGACGTTTCTATATTTACAAACGGCTCCAGATTGAAGACTAGAGTCAGTTTTTGAGAATGAGCACATGAAGCGGGAATAATAGGTGGATTTTCTGTGTCCATCCCTGTGTTGTTCCAGCTCGCGGTTCGGCTTGCCGGGCTCGCAGGGTCCTCCCACCCCCCTTCCTCTCTGCTCGACTTGCTGCAGCCCGGTGCGTTGTGTAAGACGCGACCTGTTATGGCCACCACTACTTCCGGGTTTCAGCAGTCTGGTCCAGATCCTCCGCTCCTCCTCAGCTCAACACACACATCCATTGTACACAAACAGGCAGGCGGCTCATGCATACACACGCACTCACACACATACAGGCACATACACACACACACGCACACACGCTCAGCATCGATCGTGGCTCCTTTAAGAAAGCCTAAGCCAGAATTATCACCCCACCTCCTCTTGATCTCCTACAGACGCTTTTGCATAAGAAAATCAAGCCGGGAGCCGAGAGTGATCAAAGAAAACGAGAGGAGAGCTGCTTCATTTTTTAACTGTGATTGTGACGATTAACATTTAGGTGGTGCCGATCCCGTGGAGACGCGCGTCGGACCATCATTCATCCTGTACTTTTGACAAGCCCTCGCGTTTTGACTGACAGGCGGAGTGGCAAAAAGCCATGAGAGTCGCCAGTTTTGTTTGAGGGGCTATTTTATTTTCATCCTGGTTTTGGAAAAGGAGCCTGGCGCCGCTGCCCCGAGGACAGCCGAGGACCTATTCACCGCGCCTGGGCTAAACTTGCGCAGAAAGCGGGGGCTGGCTTCACCGTTCCGTGGAAAAAAGGCATACGGGATTTTGGCTGAAACGTCTTCCCATTTATTTGGATTTTCTTTCTTCATTACATCTCCACCCTGGCCTCAGAGGGGATTTATCTAAACTGAAAGGACGACCAGGGAGTCAGGAGGGTTATGGCGCAACGGGTACGTAGGGCAATCCCCCCTAAAAAGTTTCTCTAAGTCTGCTGTGCTTTAACGCAATCCTGCACTGTAACGTAGCTTAATGACACACATACCCGCACGGACACACACTCGCGGCGAAAGTTTCTGTCCTGACACATGGAGACACAATTTCATTTTGGCGTCTTTTGGCACGGAATTACGCGCGGCCGCGTTCGTTTGCTGTACAAACCGGCCCACCGAAGGACATTGGAAGCGTGATCATATCTCACATCGGCTATGTTTTTTAGATTAGTTATGACAGGCCAGTTACTGGAAGCGAAATGGGGGAGGGCATAGAGGCAAAACAAATCTCCACATTTCTCATCACACTGTTCCGTCAAGATTTCACGTTGATCGGAGCATTTATGAGCAAGACAAAACTCCTTATTTCACCGTCAATTTTTCAATCGGCTTTAAAGCGCAAATTGTGCTAAAATATGCAATATTAGCATAATGCAGTGAGGCGGTTTTTAGTAATGAGGTGATGACAAACGCTTTGATTCGTACACTACAGGACAGCTTCAGAGCAGCTGCTGGGATCTTCACAGGGATGGTAAATAGTGTAGAAGCAGAGATGTTAGGGACACCCTGGACACATTTAGCTGCTTAGTTTGGCACTGGAGCTCCACCACGCTGAGGTTTGCACTTCTTGCCTTTAGGGTCGAAAAGCTCAGCTTTAAGTGATAATTCTTTTTACTCTTTTCCCGGCACTTGTTTGTCACTTCTAGAGAACACTATCAATAATCCAAGCCTCATTTTTAATCTCTTAAAAGAGCAAACCTCGAACAAGGATTTTAGTTTAGGCTTTTGGATACCTGAATCAACAGTTCTGCTTATGAACACGCAAGCAGAGTGTTAAATAACTACTAAACAGCGGTGTAAAAACGAGGTTGAATTATTTAACTCAAAACTGACACGTGGAAAAGTTTGAATATTCTGCTCCAGTTAAACATCGTCTGAAAAAACACAACACAGCGTTTGTTATGCACTAATCACAGTGTGCTTGATAACATGCTGCACAATTGTGAGACTTTAAAATTAGAAAACACGCCAAGTAACAAATTTAAGACATTTGTTGTTGTACTCAGTGGAAATCAGGACACCAGAATGATTGTGGTTAAAACCGAATTAGAACCGAGCCATGTTGATATAGTTTTAGTTTTTTGTACTCCCATAATTTTTGAACATATTGAATAATTCATATTTATTTTATTCATCTCTAAGCCACAAAGGTCACTGTGAAAAAGCTGACAAAACAACAGCTGACAAACAAAACTAACTTTCTATTCAGAATGCATGCTGTAGATTTCCTCCTGTAAAAAATATTAACAAGTTCCTTAGACTCCTGTCTGTAAAACGTGTTTTTTTTCAAAACAAGTTTTCAAACGACTGGAGATAATTTATTTATCTTGTTTTGCATGTGTTAATACTCTCAGTATTATGACGCAAAGCAGAAAAGGGCAGCTGAGTGCACTCCTATCAGGAAACCGCGTTGAATGAAGAAAAATGCTGAAACATGTCGACTTGTTTTGGAAATTAATGAAACTATTTCACCCTGTTGACAGATTTTTTACTTTACTCTTTTTATAAGAAGAAAAACAATACTTTAAGTCTCACTTCTCCAACTTCAGTTCACTTTTGCAATATATTCCTAACTTGTGGTTGTATAGTAAAGTTGTAACCAGTTTGACATTATCTTGTGCATGTATATTCACTGTGGCCCCGCGTATGTGTTGTGTGCAGTACGAAGACTTGCCCCACTACGGGATGGACGGGGTGGGCATTCCGACCACCATGTACGGAGACCCGCACGGCGCTCGGTCCATGCAGGCGGTGCACCTCAACCACGGACCCCAGCTGCACTCCCACCAGTACCCGCACACCGCCCACACCAACACCATGCCTCCCAGCATGGGCTCCTCCGTTAACGACGCTCTCAAGAGAGATAAAGACGCTATATACGGGTAGGTGCAAGCCTGCGGTCCGCGGGGAAACTCACTCTCTGGCGGCCAGGCTTAAATCCAGGCCTGGAGGGGGCAGTCGGGGTGGGGTAGTTGGTGCAAAGTCAGTCCCGTCGCAGGACAAACACCGGCACAATGGCCAGGACGGCCGTGCGTCCCTCTGAAGTGTTTCAGCAAAACACTGGAGCCCAAACTGCTGCAGAGACGCTGGGAATAATTGGCTAAGAAATACATAGGTATGGAGACTATCTAGCTAATGTATTTTTACCCTTAAGAATAATTATAAGAGAACGTCCACTTTAGTTAGAGCTTGTAATATTTTTCTTTTTAATTTAACTTGCTTAGTTTCTTTTTAAGTTCCACCGTTTATTATGAGCAAAATAATTACCGTCTCCCTTTTAACCATTTTAATTAATTTAATAATGTGCCAAGCTTCAGCAAATTAAAAATATATCACGTTTAAAGGAAGTCCCACATATGCACGTCATTTATTAATTTACAGGAGTTAATTAAAATTCTAAGCATGCTGTTTTCATGGTGGCTAAACATGCCAGTAACAGTTTCGCCATCTTACGCCATATTACACCTTTCAACATATTACCAGCCTGCACATATTTACTCTGATGGCATAAACCATAAATAATAATAAATATAATAATAATCAACAAATGTGCAAACATTTAGTGCCTGCAGCTTCAGAGATTTTTGCCAAACACACACACACACGCCTGGGGTCCAAACGGAGACCTGTGTAAGAAATAGTTTGACCGACTCTAAAGCTTTTATGCTATTAGGTACACCTAGATTTAATCACAGAACTCTGCCCGCTGTTTGCAGCCTTTCTCCGAGCCTCTGCATAATATAATAGCATGGGCTGCAGCAGCATTCCCCATGGGCGAGTTGTTGAAGAGTAGCATGGCTGGCTAAATCTAGCCTGGAGTAGTCTTGACCCCGGCGCTGTTCTCTCTGGTGACATTTGCTATTGTGTGTGTTCCCAGGCACCCCCTGTTCCCCTTGCTTGCACTGATTTTTGAGAAATGTGAATTAGCGACTTGCACCCCCAGAGAGCCCGGGGTGGCAGGAGGAGACGTCTGTTCATCGGAATCTTTCAATGAAGACATAGCTGTGTTTGCAAAACAGGTCAGGAAAGTTTGACTTTTTTTTTTAAATCTGCATGCTCGGGCTGGTTGAGCTCTTACCTGCATTAAATAAGTGTGGAGCTCTGACCTTTGTGCGTAAAGTTAATTCTGCAGTGAAAGAAAATAAAATGGCGTTATTAAATGTGTTTAATTTAATCGAGTACCCTGTTGAATTTATACACCATTATGCCAGTACTTCCAAGTTACATTTAATCTGACGTGATATATATAATTTTATAACATTTTATATTCACATATTTTATGAAAATGTGAAAATGTGTTTGCTTTTAGATTCGGGCAGAAAAGCCTTTATTTTCATCGAATCCAGAATTGGATAATCTGGTAAGATACATTATATTTTTTATATGACACACATTACATTTCCTATATTTTCTCAGAGTGCTTTTGAATATACCAGCTGTTGCTTGCATGTTTATGGGCCGATTACACAGGTTACATGTATGTGTCAGAGAGCCATGTGGAGCTGAAAAGATAAAGCAGGATTGGAGGTGATGTTCCTCTTTTTGGCCTGTTTGATATCATGATGGCCCCCAGTTGTATCTGGAGATGAAGCGCCGCTGTTAGACAGCTGTCACAAACCTTTGAACTCTGCCTGGAAAGTTGTTCTATTCATGCTTTTCACTTTGCACAGCTTGGTACTGTGATGTGAGAGTAACGTTTTCCTCACGACTAGTTGGTTGGCTAATAGATCTCTGACTCTGAGGCTTATTGCAGCGCCAGTCTGTACTGTATGCCTGCTCTCCATATTGCAATAACATCCATGTTTAATATCAGTTCTACATAAAATCCATTCATATGAATATTTTCCTCGTCTGCAGTTACTTGTATTGAGAAAAACGTGCCTGTTTAATATCAAGAGATGTGAGCAGCTCATTTTTTATTGTTATTTTAATTTTTCAGATGATTCAAGCCATTCAAGTTTTACGATTTCATCTTCTGGAGCTGGAGAAGGTAATATTCTCTCGCCATTTCTGTCCAGTGTGCCGCTTCAGACCTATGCAAAATGTATTTTTGCTAGTCGGTTATAATTAGCGTCAAAATCAATCATGGGGCCATTTCTCTTCCGCGTTTAATCACGACTCAAGCTGTTACAACTGGAACGGGTATCTGTGTGCCCAAATCTCCCCGCATGTTTTAATGAAGTTTAATGCTGGCAGAAATTGCATGCAAGGTGAAACATATAGGCGAACTTTGAAGGATTTTAGAAACGATTCTTTGTGGAGGGCAAAAGGCCCCAGGCAGCCATCTGTGGATAGAGGGAGTAGTGGGTGTAAAACTCTGATTTGTCTCCGTATCAGATGGACTCCAGTAGCATGTACTGTCACCTTCTAACCTAAACTTTAACGTTGGGAAACATTATCAAAGATGTTAAAAGTTTTAGTTTTTAAAACTTGTTTGTCGTCCATCACCCTTTCTCAGATCAGGCAGCCTGTGGGCTAAATAAGAGGTGGAAACTGTATATAATGTGCACAATGTAGTAAATGAACTTTAAGGTGGTTTGCAGTTCTCTATGTTTCTCTGCCCGTCTGACATTTGTTTCTGGGGCGATAGGATGCGCTGTATTGGCAGTGATAATGTAATAAGTAGAGGAAATTAAACAGTTTACCTTAAATGTCAGTCAAGCGGGTCGCCCTCCTCTAATGGCCACAACCCAGGGCACCGATGATGAATTTAACACGGGTGTTGAGTGCGTTGTAGCCCCTGAGCCCTCTTGTCACTGTCAATTTTCGACGATATCTCCATTTTGAGAGGAGAAGTTATTATCACAGTCCGGGTGCACTGCCACCACGGCACGGCGCGGGAACTGAACAAACATTAGCCGGAAGTTTCCAAAGTGATCTTATTTCAATTGTTATAATTTCAAAGCTGAAGCAACATTAAAAACTTTTTTGGAGGCAGAATTAATAAATAAAATGTGAGTTTTGATCACATTTTATCCTGATAATTTACCACAATGTAAAAACAATAACATGTTTTCAAGGAATCTGTTATGTTTCATATTAACTCTTTAAACATATTTAAATAGTTTAAATGCAATAACGGTGCTGGGATGTGCGGGTTTGCCAAATGGCCTAAAAATCTCGTCGGGGATGTTTTGCATGTCAAAGTCTATCCTGTGTGTGTGTGTGTGTGTGTGTGATGGGGCGGTGTTGTGGTTGCACCACATGTCACTGTTGTGTGATGATGTCCCTTTTGGGTGAGAGTGTGACGCCTCTGCCTCCTCTCTCTGAAGGTACACGAGCTGTGTGATAATTTCTGTCACCGGTACATCAGCTGCTTGAAAGGCAAGATGCCCATCGACTTGGTCATAGACGACAGAGAGGGCGGGTCCAAATCAGACAGCGAGGAAATCACAAGATCATCTGTGGCCCTTGATCAGGTACATCTCTCTCCCTCTCCTTCTGTATGTGTGTGTGTGTGTATGTGTTCTCCCTGCTGGCAATTCAGCTATTCTAGGTCACTACTCCGCTGCACTGTTATTTGCATATGATTAAGGCCGTTTTACATTCCATCCATCGGAATGAAAATTTTTCTGAATAATGTTGCTATTATTGGCCCATTAAGACTTGAACCCGGAACCGACCTTGGGAGATTAGCTCGAAAAAGCATCGCCATAAACTTGACCTGTTTCATGTCGATTTTAATTTAGTGCCTCTCTCCATTTTTCTCTCCTCTCTGTCTCTTTTCGAATCATAACGAAACGTTATCAGCTCCCCTCAGTAGTGCAGCCCAGGAGAGAGCAGCAGCATGGGCTGCAGACTGTGGTTTAGGTGCCTTGGTTTCTCCACTGTGGAGTTCACGGTTCATTACGCGTCTTGTCAGTATTTTTCCTTAGACATGAGTGCACATTGCTTATCGAGACCCCTTCTCTTCCTTCTCCTTTATTTCCCTCGCAGCGCACAGATTCAGCACCAATACAAAGGTTTATTTTCGAAAGCTATAGAAGCAAGCGGGTATTAAAGGTAGATTAGGGAGTGTTTCCTTTTGTGCCGATATCAGAGATAACCACAGCCTTCATTATGTGCTCCACTGACTGTTGGCACTCCGGGGACATTGTAGTGTACGCACAGGAATGACCCTAATGGTCCATACACTGCCGTTAAATAATGATAAAAGCAACCAATGATTAGAATTATGCAAATCTGGATTTTTGGCCATTAATAGCTCCAGTCATTTGTGCAGGAGACAGGGTTGCAGGCTATGAGAACAGTTAAACTATCCCAGAGTTTGAAGGAATGGCTTAGGAGAGTAGCGGTTAGAACTGTATGGATACCGATGAGGGGGGGGGGGAAATCAAGTGTCCAAATTAAAGGGATTAGTTGGATCGTCCAACATAAAAAGTAATGAAGCGATTTGGCTAAATAATTTAAATCCGCGGACTTCCATATGGTTGAGTTGCTGGTCTGAGTAGAGAGAGAGACAGCCACCGGCTTTTATGTTCTGGGCTGAATGGCAGGACTGGGAGCGGACTGGGAAGACCCCCACCCCGCCTCGCATGCACTCCTCCATCCGCAGCCCTTATGTCTGATTATGGAAATGAGAAAGATCACCCGGAAGATAATACTTCATTTAATCCAGGAACAGAATTAAATAACACAGACGCCACTTGTGCATTTAAGTGTCTCTTTGAACGACTTGTTGTATTCTCTCAGGGATTCAGTCTTCAAAGCTTTTTTTTATTGAAAGGTCAGGACATGGAATGAAGCCTTATGGTATATAGATATGAAAATAGAGTCTGTTAAAACCCTTGGGTTTCTAGGTATATGAAGAAAATTATGTTATGCTTGGGGCACTGATGCAGATCTTTAATTGACTGTAAGATGAAGACATGGCCTATTTTAATATAATAATGGTCCCTACATATAGCCAATTCAGGGCAAAACCACACAAGCTTATGTTTACACTGATATGACAGAATACTATAAATGACCTACAGGCATAGTTTGCATTAAAATGCAGTGAAAACTTTTTGACAGATGTGTAATTTTGAAAGATGTGCTGATGTTCCTGTGGGATAACATGGAGACTGTCCACAAGCAGGCTGTGTGTAAATGGGCATATCGAAAAAGGCAGAGGGTGCATGCCTCTTACTGTTGAATATTGTCAGTCTAATGGCACTGCACTTCACAACTTACTTGTGGCTGAATATGTATTTTTTTGAGTTTTGTGGGCTATTTTTGTGTGACATCTTATCTCAGTTGTTACGCAGTGACATCCTTAACGAATTTGCGTTGTGTGTGCATTATCTCTTTCCATATGTATTTTTAATATATGCCCTCGGGCATAAAGTTGAAGTGGACTGGAAAAAATGCTGAGAATTTGCACAAAGAACAATGTTAACAAGACGGAGAAAGCAGGCTCATTTATTCATAAACCAATTTATTCCAGTGAGGCGACTGTAGCAGAGGAGAAAAAAATGTCAGAGGAAAGAAAATACTTTGAATTTATTAAACTCAACAATCCAACAACGCTGACTTTCTTGCTGCATTATGCACCGTTGCGTCATAAGCGTAATTTTCTGAATATTCTTTACATGTCTTTACATTGTTTTGTTAGCCTGCCTATGCAGGCAAGTATGGACGGACTTTGAGCGCCCCTTTCAAAAGAAAGCAGAGCATAGCTGTGAGGTGAAAAAGTCAGAGAGTCTCTGCGCTGGCTTGTGAATGCAGCCCAGCCAGTTTGGGCTCACCCCCCTGTGTTTGTGTGTATCTTTTTGTGTAAGGGTGTGTATGCGTGTGTGTGTGTGTGTGCGCACAAATGTGCACGAGATGTGTGCATGCATCTGTCTACAAGTGTATGCATATATGTGTATGTTTGTGTGTATGCCGCTGTGTGCGTGTGTGTTCAGACTGGCCTGATAAATGCAGCACCCCCCTCAGGTGCTATGTGAGTGGAGTGACTGGTTAGCGCCAGTTGGACTTTCTTAACCCTTTCCCTGCTGCTCCCTGGAGAGCTTCCCACCACGTTTTCCTAATTTCTTCCCTTGAGCAGCACATTTCCAGTTGCCCCATTAGACATATGCATCCTGATTTGAGCTCAGCTGTATATAAACATAAAAGACACAATAAAAGTCCATTATTCTGAGTGAAATTTGCAGAGCCCTTTAATGTGGAAAGGCTTGTGTCCACACTGAATATGGCTGTCTGTCTCCGTCTTCTTGTTGTTGTGGAAATGGGGCCGCAGTCTCACTGCTGATTGCGTCCCTATTTGCCTGGCACACATGTTCACCTCAGTCTAAAGAAGCGGGGAGGTATTTCCACGCTGCTGTACGTCATTTGCACAGTTGCCTTTAATTGCGCAGAGAGCATGGGGAGGGGCACAGCAATTTGCTAATGAACTCCAAGGGCCTGGGCTCTCCGCTGTAGAGCAGAACACTACTAATAGTGCTGAGGACTCACTCCAAGTCTCAAGAGCTCCTCTACTTGATTGAGCCATGCAGGCTGAAGTGCGGCTGGAAATAATTGAAATTTCCCTTAAAAATATTCTCTGCCTGCCCTTTTGTGGATATGAGAGAGTCTTAAATGATTATGAATGCTCAGCAGTTGATCTGTTGAGTTAATTCAGTGAAGAGGTAATTTTACATTAGAGAGGCTTACTGACATTTTCAATGTGATTTTGTTTGCTGTTTGCTGCAAATCATGTAAAAAGAATGTGAAATAGCTTATAATCTTATATAGCATCTATACATTTGGGAGCTGTTTTTCTTATGTCCCGCGCAATCGTTCCTAAACAAACCCTGCTTGTTTGAGCTTAGTGTTGTGGTCACTGTGTAAGAATTTACTCTTGATAGTGCTATCGTGGTATCTTTTCCCAACAATTGGCACTGTTATGCCATACAAGTGCTGGTTTCCAGGTCAGTGAGACCCAGCAGAGTGTTGGTTTAGGTAACTCTGGCAGTCAAAGAGTGACCCCTGCACCCCCACCCTCCCACCCAACTCAATGGAAACCCTGACCGCTGGGGTCAGCCACTATTTTCCTAATCAGTACACCGCTATCGCTAATCTATCCGCTTCTCGTTGAAGTATGGATCGAGTTACACCCAATTTAACAGGCGCACACACTCTCTCTCTCTTATTCATTCCCTCTCTCTCCTACAGTGGCACACTGCTGATCTTAATACAAACTCTTGAATCATTGTGGTGATTGTTGGTAATGGCAGCTTTTGTAGTTGAATAGAGGAGAGGTTTGACCCCCACTCACCCCCTTCCTCCTCTACACCCCCTCCTCCCTCCCATCCCCAGAAATCCCCCCTTTTTCCATTGGGGAGTGAATGCGGGGCGGCTGTTAAGGATTCAACAAGTGATACAAAGAGGCGACCACGTGACTTGTGTGTTTCTTAGCCTCTTCATTATTGTGGTGGAATAGCAAGTAGGGGTGATTCTGATTAAGCAAATCATGGCCAGAGTGACTTCAAAGAACAGGAACGTCAGGAACTTCTTATATATTATATGTATATTGTTTTTCTACTAAGTTATGGATTTTTTTGGTTGATTTAGTAGTTGTTTTTAAATCATGCAGTATTGCTGCAAACAAAAGCTGGGGCCGCACTGTGTCACAGATACTCTATTGTGATAGCCACAAAATCCCAATTGCAAATAAAGTTCTTGGCTTGTGTCTCGTGTTACTTATGATGGGCGGCCATGTCTGTCCCCGAGGCCTGCTGTGGTTTCTTTGGTTAAGTAAACAATAACCTAGCTTAACACATGTGTACTTAGCTAATGGAAAGTTCCTCTCCCCCTTAACCCCCTGCAAGCCTCTGACAATGGCCACCGTCACAAACAGCCCGTCTCCAAGGGATCCACCAAGAACATCCCAGCGTAGCGGCTTCGAGTCAGGCTAAGCTAGGCTAACGAAGAAACCACAGCAAAACATGTCATTAAGAAATTACGCCTGCCTTTTCATTTACAACTGAAAAAAAAAGAAATATGCTTTGTTTGGGTTTAGATAGCATGGAGGGGAGAGCACTCGAGTTAATGTTTTTGTTTGGATTTCAGCTCACAGAGAGTAAACAAGGAGTCTGTAGCGAAAGTTGGAGTGGAAGAGGCCACAGAGAAAGAAAACCAGTTAGTCAGTTTCCGCGAGTGTCATCTAAATGGACTTTGAAAGCTTTGGTAATTATCTCAAACATGTAATTATCTTTGGTTGTCTCTATGAGGTTAACCCACCAGTTTTAAAAAGCCGATTGAAGAGTACCTGTCGGCTATTCAATGTAGCATACTTTACTTACTCAAGAGACCAAATCCAGTTTTTTCCCTCACCCCCTTCAGCAATTATAAGGTTATTTCTTCTTTCTTTGTCTATTGTGAAGAGTTGGGGAGGAAGGGGAGTGCAGAACAGAATGGGAGGGAGGGGGTCTTGCGCTCTCTGTCTTTTTTTTTTTTGCACCACGCATACCATTATCAGCCCCTCTTTTCATTTTGGAGGCACTAATATTGCAGCGAGGGGAGGAGAGGGGTGGAGAGAGCAGAGAAAGCAGAGGTAGTTGGGCAAGCACTTGCCTGGCTGGTTATCAGAGAGGCAGTTCCTGCTTTATCTAGTCACAGTGGAAAGCAAAGTAAACAAGAGTTTACAATAGTTGGCCTTTCAGCCCCTTTCACTAACAGCTTCCCCACCAGCATTCAGCTGAGTGGGAGAATGTGTCCGGAGTTATTGCAGGCCATCTCACTGCTGCAACACATGGCATTCTCGCAGATTTCAACTTGAGGAAGCAGTGCTGTTGCAAAGGTCAAAAATGGTGTTAAAGAAAACAACCGCAGAGAACACATGCACCAAAGCATTCTGGGGGATGAAGTAGCCCAACTGTCATCTTTGATTCAGATGTACCACCACGGAAGAGTGTATGTGTGGGGGGTTATTTGGATATTTATGTCTGTGCTGTTAAGTATGCACATATGATTATTCCCGCACGCTCGCTGGCATGGAGTGAAAAGTAAATATCCATATCATCACAAAAGATATTTCAGAGTGAGGGTGGGGGGCAAAGCACAACAACCTTAACCATTTTCTTTATTATTGCAAATGAATTGGCAAGGCAACATTTCTTGCATGAGCGCTTGTATGATATGGGGCCTGGCACAGCGAGAAAGGGAAGCCCCCCTCGCATCTTAGACGCGGCACAATGAGAATGCATTGGATTGGAATGCCTCACCGATCATAGCGGAATCAGAATTTCCAGCAAGGAAAATCTTTTCATGGCGAATTAGGGCGGTGGAGGGAAGAGAAATGGAAATGAAAAAAGAAAAAGAGAAAAAAAGGTATGCATGGCTCACAAATAGGGTTGCCTCAGCTTGGCGCGGCAGATTTAAGAACTTTAGCTAAAGCTAGGCAGAATAGAATGTGGAAAATTGAATTTACTAAACAATTAAGCACTGAATTAATCTACATCCTGCACAGGGGAGAACAACCGAGCGAGAGAGAGAAAGAGTTAAAGAGAGAGGGAGAGAGAGGGAGAGAGAGGGAGGGCGACAGACCATGGCAGCACATTAAAGGGACATAGAATAAATAAAGTGTGCAGAGGGACAGCTCTTTCTCCTTCGCACTGTTTCCTTGAGCTTTCAGTTTATGCATCTATTCATCTTGTTAATTTACATATCCCATATTGTGAAGGTGGACCTCTACATTGTGTGCTCCAGTCTTGTTGGCACAGGGTGTGTGCGTTTTTTTGTCACTGTGTGTCTTGTGGTCAAGGTGTACGCTTTTGTTAAATAGGGACTGTGAGTAGGGCGGTTTTGTGATGTGTTTGCATAAGGTAGATGAAAAGTATTTGTGTGTGGGTGTGTGTGTGTGTACAAGCTAAGTGACCAAGAAAGTGTTTTTGTGTGGGTGTGTGCACACATGCTGTGCGACCTGTGTGTACTGGTATGTGTATGAGTTGTGTGATCTCAGCCGTGTGTGTATTAATTGCGTGTTAGATCAGTGCCGGGCCTGTTCCGTCCAAGGGCAACCTGTGATTATAAATAAACTCCCCGTCCCTGCGGAGATGCCACCAGGCCCTGTCTCAGCCCCGCCCCCTTTCCCATGGGGCCCCAGTGGCCGCCTCCCAGCAGGCAAAGTGCTCTTTTGTTCAATTACAGCTAATGCAGTAGTTTGCCATTTCCCCCTCCACTTTCTAATTATATTTTGAAGTGGAATTTGTTACAGAATTAAAACAAAAAGAAAATGAAAAAACATATCCTTTCTGCGAGCTCTTGTTTTTTTTTTCCAATACTTGCCGCTTGACGTCCCCGGGGTACTGTGCTATTCTTTTTCACAGAGCTCTGAATAAACAAGTTCTGCTCATTTTTAAAAGCTTCACTTTCGGAGGAGCTGGCAAAAGCCAGTGTTAACTGTTTGCGTGCTGAGCATGTGGTCTGGATTACCTCACTTCTGATGTTCTCTGGAGTTACTCGGTCATGCACGGGTGTTTCATTTTTCAATGTTCTACGGTCAGCAAAAAAAAGAATTTGTAAGAGGTGGAAAAAAAGACTGTCTTGGTATCTTATCCCCGTTAAAATCAACATTTATCTACCCAATCACCATCCTAGTCATGCCTTGCAGTGACTTTCCTCTTTATTCCAAAGCCTCAAAGCCTAATTTAGAAAACAACGATTATATCGTCCATGTAAGCACTGGATTATAATTTCATAGCCCAGGAACATCAAACGGGCTCTAATAGACCCCAAATGTGTTGAATTTGCTGACTTGTATATTCTTTTCTGTTTTTTTATTCCATCTACATTTTGTTTAAATGTCTACTTTTTCATAAATCTAAACTCAGCTCCAAATCCTCCTCGTAGAGGCAGCGCTGCTTGTACTATCCCAATTGAAACCAGTTGTTCCCCAGTGTGTTTCTCTCCCTCCTCTCTTCCTCCGTGTGGGTTTCTATCACTCATTTCGTCACGTAGCCCTAAAAGCGTGATGCAAACACCACATTGCCCCTTGATATCTGCTTCATTTGATTTGACAGAGCAAAGATAGGCTCACAAGGGAGGTAGAGTAGGCTCGAATAAATGTTTTTGTGTGTGTATTTTGTTTGTTGTGTGTTTGTTTGTGATAGCTAGCTGTGTGTGATGAGACATTAGATTCCATTTCCTTGTATTTTGAAGTATCTTTTGTCTCCTGTCCTCAGTGCTAATGTTGCTTTTCAGAGGCACTGTAAGATAAGAGGTTACATCTGGTTTAGCTTCAACAATATGTAGCAGCTTGTATGGGAAAGAGTGTGTGATTTGAGTGTGTGTGTGTGTGTGTGTGTTTGTTTTATACAGTGTCTATGTATACGTGCGTGTGTGTAAGCACCAAATCTGTAAATGTGTATGTGTGTGAGGGAACCTAATATGTCTGCATCTGAATGCGTGTGTTTGTATTTGATGTCCGCTTACGGTGTATGTATGAACACTATAGTGTGTGTGTGTGTGTGTGTGTGTGTGTGTGTGTGGGATGAATGGGAAGACACAGGTCAAAAAACACACACACACACACACACACACACACACACACACACACACACACACACACACACACACACACACACACACACACACACCTTATTAAATATAAACCCAGGTCTTATAAGTCTCTCTCTTTTCTAGTCAGCTGCTTATTTTATTTTTTTAAGTCATACAAGAAGGAATGGGCTTCCTCCTTGTGGTAATACTTTTAGCTTTTTCATTTGTCTACATAAAGTTTTAAGTCCGCTTCAGTTTGGTTGGTCATGTAATATTTTTGTTTAATTTTTTTTGTTTGAGAAAAGTCTGTGGGAAAACTTAAGCTTATTTGGTTATGTCTCTGTTCTAGCTCTGCTTTCCAAAATGAAATTTAAATCTACATTAGTGGGATTGGCCATCCATTTTTTGTTTAATTTTTGGACAAAACAGAGGATTTATACTTATGTAGCAATACTTTGAGTTATTTACCTCTCTCTCCGGTCTGCTCTGCCTGGTGACATCACTCCCTGGCGCTCGCTGCGGCCTATCTTAAGTTGTTTTGTATTTTCATCTGCTAGTGGTTTGAACCAAATGGAGGCAGCCGTGGATTGCATGCCTCAGAAAGCTGGGAACTAATACAACATGTTCGCTCGCTCTTTGTCTGGGCCTTTCTCTTCATCGAGCCCCAAAAATCCTCAATCCATAAGATTGTTGCAGGGGCGCACGCACACACACACACACACACACACACACACACACACACACACACACACACACACACACACACACACACACACACACACACACACACACACACACACACACACTGTGTGACTGGGCTAAGAGCTGGCAAATTATGAATTTTGTTTGTAGTATAAGTTTGTCTTTCCTTCCACATAATGTGCAGTAGATGTAGACAGAAGTTTTCAAAAGAAGAAAACCTAAAAAGTTAATATTAGATTAACTGACAGATCTCTCTGTCGTCTCTCTCTACAAAAGACGTCCTGGAACAGAGATCATGATGACACGGCGTCCACACGCTCTGGAGGAACACCAGGCCCGTCCAGCGGCGGACACACATCACACAGCGGTGACAACAGCAGTGAACAGGGTAAGAGACTGAGTTTCTGTGTCTGCATCTTTTTCTCATTAATCAGGTGGAGGGGAAGGGGAGGACAGGGACACAGTTAACGTGTACAGCAAGGTGCTGAGTGTAGTACATCTGCTAGATTATATCATATGCAAGGGTACATGAAACTTTATTATGTTTTCAGATGAGGTTTGACAGGCTTATTTAGGCTGTTTGAAGAGGGATTAGAGTTTTGCAGTTCACAGTTGCTGCTACTAAGGAGAGGAGAGGTCGGGGTCAGCTATAAGAATACTTCTGAACCTGGTAGGCATTTGCTGTCTTGCTCAGGGACACATTGACAGAGCAGGCTTGGCGTGCTAGATGGCTCCTAGCTGAGTCTAGAGAGCAGTTTCTATGTTCCTGGTTCCACCCTTGCGATTGTTTGTTTCACGTTACAGTCCTTCAGCATGCAGTTTGCTTTACATCTGAGCATATTTGGTTGTTTCTGTGTGCTCTTGCTTTTATTATATCCCAGACTACACAGTTCATATTGTATGTACTGTTTGACTACTTAGCTTGCAGGACTCCCTACCAAGTAGGTAACCCTTTCCGCTTTCTTTCTCGTCTCAGTTTTCTGAGGATTCAAGAATTATTTTCTGTTGTCATATTAACCCCCTGTCATAAGCTGGTGATGGTGATTTTCATGTTTTAGTGTTGTTTGAAGGATTGCATGCACCTATTTGAGGAAATTCTTATTTTATGAGGCCCATAAAACTATTTAAGATTCCTCAGTGGATGGCATTGAATACATAGCTAAAACAGAATATAAAAAGCTGCTGTTTGAGAGGATTTTCTGACAATGATGAGTCATCTCTTGTCAAGACGAAATGGCTTTGAAACATGAAACTGTTACTTCAGATTGCTTGCTACTTTGACAGTTTCTATGCACTTAAACTTAAACAAAAATGCTCTGGGTTTTATTGATATTAGGTTTAATCTCAATTGCAAAGGTCTAACACATTAGTCTACTTTACCTCTTAGACCAGATAATTCTCCTGAGGCTGGATATGTATGTATTCTATGAGTGTGTGTGAGAGAGAGAGAGAGAGAGAGAGAGAGAGAGCAGCAGTGGGAGAATAGATTGGTGGTGGTGGTGGGGCGGTGTTGCAAACAAACTGTAGGCAAAAAAGCAACTTCATATATTATTAAAGGCGATGTCAATGCGAGCAGTTTGCAGGGTTGCCAGTGCCAGGAGGCAGAGCCTGGGTGGGAGCAGAGAGCGCCGCCATGCCTTCCACTCCAATGAGCAGCCATTTATATAGTCAACACATACACACTCTCTGTCTCTGTTTGTCTCCCTGTCTGTCTCACACTCTGTCTCATACTCTGTCTTTCTGCATCTCTTACACACGTTCTCTCTCTTTCTCTCTCTCACATACTGTTTGTGTTTCTTTCTCACTCGTCATTAATGCTCAACGGAGGAGCTGAGGGGCTGAGAGGTGAGACACGAGTTGAGATAAAAATAAAAAATAGACAGATGATGTGGAAGAGAGTGACAAAGGGAGTGAAATTACAGTGAAACAAGAGAAGACAAAGCAATATTGTGTGTGTATGTGTGTTTGTGTGTATGTGCACGCCTCTACCTTTGATGACTAATGGTCTGGGGCAGCCAGGCAAGATCTGATTGGTCACTCTAATGAGCGTGCTCTGTGCCGAGTTTGGGCTCCTGCTTCTGTGACCTTTGCCCTCTATGGACCAAACTGACAGTTCATTTTTCATATCTTTCCAATTATAGGCCCACTTCTTATGTTGGCCCGCCCCCTCTCACTATCTGCCTCTCTCTTTCATCATCTCTCTCTCTCTTTATATATATATATATATATATATATATATATATATATATATATCCTCATATCTCTCTCCACGGCTATTGTAGGTTTTTGCATGTTGTTGAAGTTCATGAGAGGGTAAGATGCGGGGTACTGTATATGTATAAATGTGCATGTTCTGCATGTGTGTTGGTGTGTCAGCTCAATGAATGAGATACTTTGAAGTGTTACAGGTAGCTGAGAGCTAAACATGATGAATGTATGTAGGTATCAAGATACCTGCAGCTCCTGAAAAATGTTTGCTAATTTAAGACTGAATCAGTTCTTTTCAGTTTCATTACCATGAGCATCAGTCAAATTAATATAAGGCTAGGGTAACAGTGAAATATGTAAAACACTTTTTCATCCGCAAACACGGATGGATTTCTCGCCACTTTATTTATTTCCTATTGTTATCATTTGATTTTATACTTATTATTATTTTCAACAATGAATAATATCATATTTCCACTTACACTATATATGACTACACTATAATATAATGTTAAGGTGTCCACATACTTTTGGCCATGTGGCGTATTTCTCTAAATTGAGGTTTTTATACCCAGGTAGCATTAAACAGCTCTTTTAATGTTCTTCTGAAGCCTGCAGACACACTGATTTCTGCATGTATCTGTGTGATTGCTTTGTTTATGAGGTGTTTAAACACACACACACACACACACACACACAGCGTAGAGCATCAGGGCGTAGTGACAACAGTAAATACCGGAGGACATCTTGGACTGGTTTCAGGTTTATGTGGGTTAAGAGCTATCACTGCCACGTCATATTGGCTCTGGCAAATTGTGTGTCAGTCACTTGGTAATCCCAGTAAGCTGGTTATTTATCTGTTTGGCACTTTGCTCACTCTCTCCCCGACAGTTTCACCCCGCTGTCTCTCCTCCCTCTTTCTCGCTCTTTCATCTTCGCATCCTCCCTCTCTTCTCCAGTTTTCCCTTGTCTCCCACCTACTCTCGCATCTCCCTCTTTCATTTTGCTCTCAGTCGGTTTCTCTCTCCGTGTGAACCCCCGTGCTTTTCTCTCTCTCCTCCCCATTTTTTTCTTCCATGCCTCCCACTCACTCTAAAACACTACCTTTGTTTATTCTTCTTCTCTCCCTTTCTCTCACCTCTTTGTTCCTTTCGCTTACTTCTTCCTCCCCATCTTTCTGTCTTTTTGTTTTTATCTTCATCATCTCTTTCATCCTTCTCATTTTCATGCTGTTTCTTTCTGACTTGTTTCTCATCTCATTTTTTCCCTCTTCTTTATCATCTTTCTTTCTCAGCTTCACTACCTTCCTTGCTTCTCATCGCTATCTTCACTCTTCCTGCACTTTCTGTCTTGTGCCTCTTTCCTCCTCCCATTTCTTCATGTTTCATTCTTGTATTTCCCCCCACCCTTTTCTCTATTCTACCTTTTACAGATTGCTTTCTCACTGACCTTTCCCTCTCTGTCTCTCTTATCTACTTTCTTCATTTTCTTTCTCTCTGCCTGTAGAGCTGCACAGCTAATGGCCATCTCTCTCTCTCTGTTACTCGTTCTGTCTTTCTTTCTCTCATCTATCCTTCAATCTGCCCTGCTTACTTCTTCTCCTTAGTCAATCAAGCCATCCTCTTACCCTGCTTCTACACCTCATCTTGCTCTCTAATTTCTCCCTGTTTGTCTCTCTATCTTTTGCCCCCTTCTTCCTTCCATCCTCCGCCTCCAGCAGAGCGAAACAGCTCAGAGAAAGGATGCTGGATGGTCGAGGGCCTTTAACTAGTGAACTCCAGTCTCCCCTCTTTGCCTTTTTTCTGAGGCTATTCCTTAGACCAACACATGCTCCGCTCTGCCCTCTTCTCTGAACAGTTCACTACCCACTGGTATAAAAATCCCCATCTCTAACCGAAAATGTAGCATTCACTCTCTCAAATCCAAAAGCTGCAGGAATTCTCCGCATTATGTATGATCAGAGGTCTTCATGCGCATGTTGTTGAACTCAATTGCAGGATAAACACTTTCTAAAGGATAAAAAAAAAAAAATATATATATATTTAATGAGTCTTCGACATTTTATTCATCAGCAGGTGCTTTGCAGTGATTTCTCAGTGTCACAGTAAGAATGTGAGCAATTAAAAAAAGATTTTTATTTTACATGTGGTGACAATGCTCCCATGCTGAGTTCTTATGGGTGTTTATTCTTTGACCACAATGCTGGGGCTATTTTTTAGCACTGAATTCCATTGGTAGTCAGAAAAAAATGGAGGGAGGATCACATTTGCTTCACACATGTCATTAAAATCAGTCCTGGGTGTCTCCTCTCACACTAAAGGAGCAGACAAAGAAGAAAGCCTCTTATTTTTCTCAACCAGTTCTCTGGGAGGTCTTTGTAAACATCCACAAGCTTCGACAGGGAGAGTCAGAGAGCGGCCCTGTAGTTAATTAGTCCCACTCTATTAGCCCAGCTGTTTGCTAGCTAGTTCCTACCAACAGGCCCCTTTGTTTAATACCCAAAAGCCCTCTGGAGAAGCCTCATTGTGGCTGTTGTTGCGTTGGATCATGCTTTTCTGTGAAGAGTAATGCTCGAAGGGCAGAGGAAAAGCCTACAGATCATATATGCCTGCAATGGCGGCGATGGCGGGGGGGGTCCCCTCACGGATATGAGCGGGCCTTCTGTTTTTCTCCCACAATAAATTACTCCTCTTTGCCTGTGTGAATTTGTAAGGACACCCCTTGGCTTCTCCAAGGGCCTGGCGTGCGAGGGAAACAGAATAACATTCAGGCACTGAATCGGGCAGCTGCAGCGATGTGGATACGAGTTGAGCAGAGGAGCGGAGCAGAGTGTTCGCTCTGTTTTTAAAAGCTACAGGGTTTCCCTCTCCGCTTGTCAGAAACATCCAGGGAGTGAGGCGATGACTGGCAATATTAGATATGTATCACCAATTACCCAGACCGTTTGTGAAAAGTACAGTGTGACACGCCAAGGCAAATAGCTCCCTGTAAGGCTATGTGTTAGTGTCTGCATACATTTCTAGTGTCTGAGTAGTGGCCTGAGATTTCTAGCTGTCTGATGTCTAGCTCTGAGGGTTTTTTTCTTTGGCTGGTGTAGTTAGAGGAATGCTCAACACAAAATATATGCTGATATTTGCTTTTTGACTGACCTCAACTGTGTGCAAGTCTAAGTCTAATATG